GTGAATGAATGGATGGATGGATGTTAGGGTAGGTGGATGGATGGATGGGTGGATGGGTGGATGGATGGTTGGATGGATGGATGGATATAAGGATGGGTGGGTAGATGGATGTATGTAAGGGTGGGTGGGTGGATGGGTGGGTGGATGGAAGCAGAAAGGAAAGAAAGAAAGGAGGGAGGGGAGGCAGGGAGGAAAAGAAAGAGGGACAGACGAGAGGGCAGATGAGAGCAGGATGGAAAAAAGAGGTTGGGAGATGTGGGAGGAAGACTGAGGGAAAGCTAAGGGCGGGAAAAGAAGAAATAAGGAGGAGGAGACTCAGCAGCCTATCCCAGACTTTAAGGTGCATTCAGTTCACCTAGAATCTTGTTAACATGCAGACTGTGACTCAGGAGTCTGGGGCAGGGCCTGAGATTCTACATTTCTAACAACCTCTGGGTGATGCTGTTGCTGCTGGTCCATGGACCACACTCCTCGTGAAAAGGAACCGCAGAAAAATGGAGAAGAGACAGGAGAGGGAGGCAGTGAGAAACAGAAGGGAAGGAAAAAGGAGAAGGAGGGACTGAGAAGGGGCTACCGTCAGGGGCAAGGGCAGAGCGGCTGGGCTGGTGTGGGGCCTGCCGCATGGATTCCACGGATTGGGACAGGGCTGCACCCCCGTCCTCCCCCACCCTCCCGCCCTGCCCTGACACATCCCTCATCCCCAGCGCTGCTGGTGGGCCCTGCCCCACCTCGAAAATCCTTCAAACCCAACGGCTCTCCCTGCAAGGCGCACCCACATATAGAGAGCACTTTGCTTTGGAAATACCTGCACGTATGCACGGTCAGCCAGTTAAGCTGCCACATAATCAACGAGCCAGCACACCCGTGGCCTGGCACACTTGTTTCACTCCTCCTTTCTCGGGGGGGGGGGGCGGTGCACGCAGGGAAGAGTGGATTCTGCCGTCCCAGAAGGGTGGTGGTGTGGTGCGACTGCGGGGCTGGGGACTTCGTGTGGAGGGACAGCCAGAAGCCTGGAGCTGTGGTGTCCGGGCATTTTAGTTTAAACACGGTGGAGTTTTACACGAGGCACTGCCAAGAATGAGAGTGTGTGGGCGCGCACGCATGTGTGCGTGCGTGTGCGCGCGTGTGTGCGTGCGTGTGCGTGCGTGAGAGAGTGCTAGCACATGCCTGTGGGCCAGCAGGGGGCATTATTTCTGGAAGGAGGCATTAAAACCCCCAGGCACCTCAGCCATCCTGATGTCTATGAAGGGGTCGGACTGAGAGGTGCCTCTCCCTGTGCTGGTCCCGTCTTCAGTCATTCTTTTCAAATCTTCAAGTGTCTTAAAATAGCGGTGTCGTGAGACTGCTGAGTCCATGCCCTCTCGGGTGCATTCATTCTCTTCTTCTCTCATTCAAGCCTTGGGAAAGGGTCAGAGTCCAGATCCACAAGCCCACCCCCAAATCCCCCCTTGGTTCAAAAACAGGCACCAGACCTTGACTTATAAAATGAAAAATCATTTAGGGATAATTTTTTTTTCCCAGGAGTAAAAAAAAGAAAAAGAAAGAAAGAAAAGGTTATTCTGATCTCTTAAGTATGGTGAGCAAATGGCAGTATTGACAATACTGATTCATGAATTTAAGTGACTAACATGTCTCTGTGAGTTTCTAGGCACCGGGGACTCCCTCTGATTCTGTTGCTCTTGGAAATGCATGATGTGCGCTCAGTAAATGGCATTGCACTTTTCTGGATAGCACCAGAAGAAGGAAGTAGTTTGGCCTAGTGGCAGTATTGTGTGGTTGTGGCCCAGAATGTCCCAGCTGTGTGTCCTGGGCTTCTCAGGCCCAGCCAAGAGGGAGGCAGCCACCGGGGAGCAGCTCGTGCTCCCACAGCCCAGCGGAAGCACCTGCAGTCGGGGACGGAGCAGGCAGGCCCTCCTGCAAGCAAGTGGAGCTGCGGGTGGGGTGGCAGGGTGACAAGCCTCTGCTGTCAGAGCGGGGCGGGGGGCCTCTCCCATGTCTCAGGTTCCTCACCTCGCGGTCCAAGCCCCATACAAAGCTGTGAGAAACAGTGCTCGCCCCGGCATGGTATCTCAGTGACACGCGCAAGATTCTGTTTCTAGCAGAAGAGCCATCGAGAAAGGAATCTCGGGGTGGCCTCGGGGCTCCCTGGCTGCTCCTCACCCTCTCTCCGCTACAACTGAACTGTAGTTATATAAATGACGTTTAGTTAGTGCTTCCTGGTGGCCACTCTAAGGCTTCACGTGTATTATCTCATTTAATACCGAAAACAACCCAATGCAGTGGGCACTGTTCTTCTTCCCAATCTACAGATGAAGCCGTGGAGGCACAGTTCGCTCATGGTTACCCTGGCGGGGCGGCTTGCACACAGCGGTCTGACTCCTCCGACCTGCGGTGCGCAGCCACGGCTTTGCTGAGTGCGTTTGGGAAGGTCCCACCTGGTGGGGGCGGGGGGGAGGGAATATCCCACGGGGACGTGCGTCACTGTATATTTGCTCAAACATACTGAAGAGTGGAAATGATGCTGCCCGTCTCCTTCAAAGAGTTCTTTCATTCCACCCTCACGGCACTCGAGGGAGTGGGAAGGGCCAATGATTTCCATTGTCAGGAAAGGGAAAACTGCCGGTCCTTATGACTTACTGACTCCTACTAGCTGACACCATGCAAGCTGGAGCAGAGCTCGGCCAGAACGGGGTCCTGACCCCTTTCTTGCTCAGTGCTCCTTCCGGGGTCGAAGGAAATGCCCAGTCTTGGTGCTGCAGTGTGGGGGTGGGGGGGGAAGGGGGTCTCAGGATGCTGTGATCGGAACCTCGTTTGGAATGAAGCCCCAGTGTTGAGGGTAGCAGAGTCTCTGGAGCCCTTCACCCCTTCCCAGCCTCCCTTTGAGATTTCAGAGCTGTGTTATTCTCTCTTGCTCTTTGCAGCTCTGTTCCCCGCCCCTTTCGTAGAGCTTCACATGGGACAGACAGGAGGAGAGTCTGTCTACAGCACCCCACCCTGTTCCCTTCCCATCATGCTTCAGACTGTAGTCAGGGGCCCTGCTGAAGTTCGACAGCTCGCTTGAGGGACTAGGGATTAGGGTGGCTTAAGGATTAGGGGGACCTTTCTGTGCCTCTATATTTGGGGGTTTTGAAGTCTGGAGCAGGAGAAAGTGAAGGTTATTGATGGATGACTCAGTGGTCAAGACAAAAAGCTCAGTCAGGAACCCTCTTCATGGAGGGAGAGGCAGGCTCTGGAGAAAGCATTTGTGGTGCAGTATTTGAGAGGAGTCTGTAGGATCAGGCCATCTTCTGGAAAATCCCCTTGCTTTGTGTAACCCCAGGCTGGGGGAAGCAGTGGAAAATTTAAAGGCCCAATTACCCGTAATGGGATGCTATCTGTACAATTAAATGTAAAGGCTGATGTCCTACATCTAGAACAGCAAGTGAAATGTATTCCAATGGTTACAATTCCTTAGGGGCCACTGGTCAGTCCCTCTGGAGCCAGACTCAGTGCTTGCATCCACGCCAATTTAGTGCAGAGGAAGGACTCACTATTGGCAGATGGAAAGTTGTCTGATTTTTATGGGGAGTTCAGGCTGAGATGCCTGCTGGGGGTGTTCTCCACAGAGCTTTACACAAAGCCCAACAATCAGAGGATTGTCCTGCCCTCCGCCTTCCCAAATGGGATCCTGTCACTTCCCAGCTTAAAACTGTTCCATAGCGTCATGTTTACTCTTTAGGACACAGCCAAAATTCTGTGCATATTCTTCAAGATTCCACATGGTCTTCTCTTCTTATTTTCCCAGCTGTCTCACCCCACACTCCCTTTTGCTCTCTCTGCTCCACCCTTTCTGGTCTTCTAGGTTTTCATACTCACTATACTTTTTTTTTCTGCCACAGGACCTTTGCACACACTTTCTCCGATGCCTAGAGCACTCTTCCCTCCTCTCTTTGCCTAAACTCCCCCTCAACTCAAGCATTGCTTCTCCTGACAAGTTGAATCCACCTACCAAAGCCTCTCATAGTTCTATGTACCTCCCTCGCTTATGCCCAGTGAACTATAGTTGTAAATAAATTATTTGATCATCTGTGTTTCCTAGACTATAAATTCCATGAGGACAGAAATCTTACATGTTTTTGCTTACTGCTTTATCTCCAGCACCTAGCGGAGTACATATTTGTTGAGTGAGAGCATGAATAAATCCCAAACTAAAATCCAACTCCAGGCTCCTTTAAGCCTGTGCTACTGAGGCCAGCCATAGATTCATGGAATTTCAGAATTGAAACCCACCCACACCCCAACCTTCAATCCATCCTTCAATACTGCTATTAGAGTAGTGCTTTTTCTGTTAAAAAATGAAATCTCAATGCTCGTATATAGTCAGTAAATTATACTGTTTTTCTTATCTCTCCCCCACACCCTGTGTCCTCTCCTTGTCTGTTGAATTGGTAATCTCTGGCATTTATATTAAATGACATGTCAGGTGTTGTAGAAAATAAGTAAAAGAAGGGCCTGTGCCCTATTAGTGTGAAAATAAACAATGTTGCTCTGAAAAGAATATTCTGAGCCCTAGAATACCACCTACACTGGCTCTGAACTTTCACTTTCTCTGTCTGTATCATAATCAATTATAAAGGTCTTCCTTCCCAGCCATGGCTGCCCAGAACTCCCTCCCTACAATAACTTCTGACCATTTGGTGTGATATCAGTCTCCTCCATATTAAAAGTGCAACAAAAAACTCAGAAACTTGGGGTGCCTGGGTGGCTCAGTCGTTAAGCATCTGCCTTCAGCTCAGGTCATGATCCCAGGGTCCTAGGATCAAGCCCTGCATCGGGCTCCCTGCTTGGCAGGAAGCCTGCTTCTCCCTCTCCCACTCCCCCTGCTTGTGTTTCTGCTCTCGCTGTGTCTCTCTCTGTCAAATAAATAAACAAAATTTAAAAAAAACTCAGAAACTGGTAACGATAGCCATTGTATTCCAAGTTAAGGAGCCTTGTATTAAATCCTAAACCCGAGGTAAGAGGTTGGGGCAGCAGAAGGAGGAGGGATGGGAATGGGGTGGAAATGGGGTAAGGGCATCCAAGCAACAGCTAACCTGTCCTTATCTTCTTTGCAGTGGCAAGCCATCTCTCTGACAGTCATTGAGAAGGTTCAGATTGCAGCCGCCATCTTGGGTTCCCTCTTCCTCATCGCCAGTATCTCTTGGCTTATCTGGTCAACCTTCAGTCCCTCAGCAAAATGGCAGCGCCAAGACCTCCTCTTCCAGATCTGCTATGGGATGTATGGATTCATGGATGTGGTGTGCATAGGTGGGTCTGGGGGCCTGTCTCTATGGGAAGTGGGGAGCCATGTGCTGGTGAGTTAGACAGATCTCTCAGGATCCCTCCCTCTGAAAGGTCGAAGCACCAAGCTTGAGACCTGTAAGCTCAGGAGGAGCCAGCACCTTAGATTTGAGGGGTCAGTGGGGTGGGGGAGGAGGCAAGCCAAAGGAGGAAGATCTAAATCTTTCCCAAACAAATCTATCCTTGCCCAGTTGAAGATAAGGATAAGGAGGCTTGCCTCTAAGAAGACTTGAGAAAGGTCAGTTGGTCAGTCTGTCTGCCTCAAACGGGATGTGGAGGCCCTCTTCTCTGTTGTGTACTCCATGGTCGCCAAGCCATGACAAGGGATGACTATACATTTAATTCCATTCCCTTCCCAGCAAAATGCCCAGAAACAGCATCATGATACCTGCCCTTCCCCCCTTTTCTTCAGCTTTCTATAAGCCTATTATAGTGCCCCAGGTTTCTCTAGTCTAGTGGTTTTCAAATTGTATGGAGTCCCGATGTTCCACACACAGCTTCAGGAACCAATTTTGGGAGTGGGCAATGGAATGCAGGGCAGACAGCCTCTGAATCTTCGCCCTTGCTTCACCTTGAGTTTCGGTACTTTTATCCATTTACATATGTTTCTGTTCTAAATAAATCTTTGGTGTTTTAGAAAAAAAGTTGGAAACCCTCCACTTTAATTCCTTCCTGTTCCCTTACACCATTCCCAAATCTGTGTTCCTTCCTTTTCTATTATGTTAGGTCGATTGGTGGAGGGCCGGGTCTTTTTTTTTCAACTCTGGAGTTGTCATTCAAGTGACCAAGATCCTGGTTTTCTGTCAGTGACATGAAGCATGGTTAAGCACTAGTCATACATCCTAACCTGGAAGTCTCATGTTACCCCCTAGGCCACGATGCTGATGGCACTGAAGTTCCACAGTTGTGTTCTCTGGGCTTTAGTTTGTATATTATATCAAATAGGCTACACTGCTCCATTTGGCAGGAAAACATCTATTAGCTAGAATTTGGCTGGAAGATGCTATGTGAATTTCTTTGGGGCTCTTTAATATTAGGAGTCAGAGAGGCCTGGAGACTTGCATCTGATTATGGCAGCCAGAGACCAGTGGTGCTGGCGCTTGGATACTTGTCTAAGCATCTTGCTGCCTCTCCCTGCTAGCTAAACCAATGCCTCAGCCCTGAGTTCAAGAGTCTTTTTAAAGGCAACCTTTTATGGCACCTAGACAGATTGCCCAGGTTTGGAGGACTGTGGAAGAGAGGACTGTGAATAGGGAGGAATTTGACTTGGAGCATTCTAATTTCGTTCCCTCTCTACCAAAATCCTTTCCTACCCTGCTGAGGCACGGGTGGTGGCTGCCAAAAACCAGGTGTGTCTCCATATGGAGGTGTACAGCTCTGGCATGAAGGGGGGGGCAGCAGCGGAGGGCCGGGTGGAGCCTCTCCAGCTGTCCTTCGTTCTCCTTCAGGAAGGCTTTTGACTGGTCCCTTCTACGAGACTGGCTTTCCTGTCACGTGGTGTATTAGTCAGCTTTGGCTGCGGTAACAGGCAACTTCAGAATTGCAGTGCCTCACAATGACAAGCATTTATTTCCTGTGGCTGGGTCTGCATGACGGCTGTGGCTCAGCTGGACTTGGCTTGGTTTGGCTTCTGACTGTGCATTGGGTTCCAGCCCACTCTGAGGGGCTTCTCATGCTGGGGCCCAGGTAAAGGGGCAGGGATTTCTGGGGTGTACCTTTCTAGGCAGGTACAAGAACACAAGAGGACTGGTGGAAACTTGCAAGACCTCTCAAAACTTCTGCTCAATACTGGCATACTGTCCCCTCTGTCCACAGCCCATGGGCCAATGCAAGTCATCAACGAGCCCAACATCAGTGGGGGGCGGTGGGCAAGGGAAGCATACTCCTCCTCCCCTGGAGGGAGCATGGGAGGGAAAGAGGAGCATAAATACCACCTGCCATTCAGGGCTTCATAGATTTGAAGACTGAGAGAAGGAAACACAGAAGAGATCATGGGATCAACCTGTATGACTCTTATTTTGAAGTTGAGAGAACTAGGGCTCAGAGAAGGGAAGTGATCCGCTCAGTATTGCTCAGCTGGGATTAGAAGCAAGGTCTCCTGATTGGCAGTCCAGTGCTCTTTCCATTCTCTTCTTGCATCAGAAAGCAGGAGTCTTCGGTGTCCCTTTTGGAACATTTGCAGATGCCATCTGCAACTTCGGGTGCACCTGGGCCCACTTATAGGAAGAGCCCTCACAAACAGACCTGCTCCCTGTGCCTCTGAGCCACCCAGCACCTCTGCTTGTGCCTTCCTGGAGCCCTGGTCCCTCCTGCTCATAGTGTCTCCCTCTGAGCAGGACTCCACAGAACCATCTCGTCCTCTGTCTCTTTCTTGGCTCCTCTCCATCTGCCTCCCTCCAACCCACTTCTATCTCTCAAATTCTTTCTCTTCTTTCTCTTCATATATATTTGGCACTCAGTCACCCAATTTCTGGAAGAAACACAGTGAGCTAAATATTGAGAGTTTTCATATTGTTTTCCTTCTCTCCAAGCTTTTAAGAAAACATAATTTCCCAGGAGGCAAAGCCACACCATGATCTGTCCATTCTGCTCTGACAAGCCAGTGACCGCCTGGAGATAGCCATTGGACAGGAGGGGGCTGCCTAGGGACCAAGTGCTTTTAGTGCCATCCCAAAGTAGTCAGATATATTTATATTTAGACTAGCTCACCTTTAAAGAGTTTAGACTGCTCTATCATTTTGTTGATTATAACTGGAGCTAATTCAGTTGTCAGACCATTTCCCCAGGGGCAATAATTTTCTTCCCATTTTTCAGATGGGGAAACTGATACTGAAGGATTTGTCCTAGGCTGACTCAGGCAGCAGAGCAGGACTCTCAGTTCAATGTTTTTCTAGGAGAGGTTGTCCATAGGAGAAAATTCTAGGAGACAGAATCAAAAAGAGAGTAATATGTGATCTAAAGAAGAGAGTGGAAGATGATGGACAGTAGTTGAAATGCACAAACAGATTCTTGTGATGGTTGCGTTGATGATGATTTTGATATTGGTGATGATAATCAGTAGTGATGAAGGTGGTTTCAAGGGTGAAGTTCAGGTATCAGTCATTTACTTCTCTTCTGCAGTGTTCTGGTCAGTTGAGGGAAAACACTCAGTACTGTATAAGTTGTGATAAAGTATCAGCCTCTTAGGGGCTCCCTGGTAGGGACAGTCAGGTGGAGCCTGGAATGTACCAGCAGTGTATTTATTTTTAGGCTCAATTAGATGCTTAGACTCACAGAACTACCAGAGAGTACACTTAGCACTAGATTCACTTAGAGGAATTTAGGACAGGAACCACAACCTCCATAAGGCAAGTCCAGCTTACTTCTGCAGGTGAGTCCTTGCTGTACTCCATAACCTAGTCCAGGGCTAGTCTCTCAGCCCCCAGACGATAGCTCATGAAGAAAGAGATGAGACCCACAATAGTGGATACAGGATCCACCTTGACATAGTTTCCCCACAAAAGTCATACGTAGTTACAAGTGTCCCTGTACTCAGGGACTCCCAAACTACAGCCTCCCACCAGGCATTGACAGTAAAGCAGCCACCAACCAGGGGTTACCTCCACCCTAGGGAATGTTGTAACATGGTTGACACTCCACCTTCATCAGAATTCCAGGGAAACAAGGCAGAATGGCAACCCAGGGTCTAGTTTGTTTTGAGAGAAGGAGCAAGTATGCTTGCTCACCTCTATCCTACCACCTCCTGCCTCTATCCATGAATCTTGACTCTGGCCACACAAACCTGTTTCACTGAACCAGTGCAAGACAGAGGAGCTGGAACATGGAAAGAGACCTGGCTAGGTGAGCCAGAAGGAAGCATAATGTGGTCTTCTTACTGCCTGAAAATGAACAACATGGATGAGAGTCGCAGGATGGCACCTATATTACTATAGAGGTGGTCATCAGTTTAAAAACTCAGTCAATTAGTTTATTCCTATGGGAAAAGGGAAGTTTCTCTTCCAGAAGTCCTAAGAAAGTGGAAGAAAATGATGTGACAGAGTGGACAGAGGAAGAGATGATTCTTTATCAGAAAGTAGGTAGAAGTGATAATGGGAGAGGTGACTATTCTCAAGAAATGTTGGTTGAAAAAAAATGTTAAATGAAAAAATCCATATCTATAGACTCGAGCTCCTTGGATGGATGGAGAAATTCAGTATCTGGTTGGAAATTTATCACCAGAAGAAGGAAAATGAGTCTAGCCTTGTGTTAGCTCAAAAGGCTGAGTAAGAAAGGAATAAGACCATCTGTTAAGATGAGTCTTTGGATTTTCTCTATTTTTCAGACACCAAAAACAATTTGTCTATTCCCTAAGACTGTTGAATGGCCTCAGACAGTAAAGAATCTGAGTAAACATGAAATATATAGCTTTAAGTAATCCTTAAAAATAGATTTACCTTTGGGCGCCTGGGTGGCTCAGATGGTTAAGCGTCTGCCTTCGGCTCAGGTCATGATCCCAGGGTCCTGGGATCGAGTCCCACATCGGGCTCCCTGCTCCTTGGGAGCCTGCTTCTCCCTCTGCTTCTCTCTCTCTCTCTCTCTCTCCCTCTCTCTCTCCGTCTCTCATGAATAAATAAATAAAATCTTAAAAAAAATAGATTTACCTTTTATCAGAGCAGTGCTCTAAGGGAAAACTCATGAGAGTGGGAAGGACACAGACACTTCATTGGGCGCCAGCACCAGCTGAGCAGATATTCTCTGTCATGAAGCCAAGAGGATGCAGTGTATGGGACATGGTCACCTTGCTGCCCACGAAGCCACATCTGCTCCATCCACAGCTATGTCCACCTGGCTGACCTCCTTCCCTCCAGGGAAGGGCCTTTGGTTCTCACCAAAGAAGTTTGCCTGAAATGGATGCCAGGAAGGTCTGGGTTCTCTGTTGGATGCAGCATGGGTCCAGGGCTGTGGACAAGGGCTCTAGACTTGGTTAT